AGAATTTGTTTTTGTGCTGATGAATGGGGTATTCAATTATATGCGAATTTTAGCCCAAACTATTTCCATGGCACTATGAAAGCTATACAAAAAATGACCAAAAAAATTATTAAAACTTACTTTATTTATTGTCAGTATTTTTACTGTCGATAAGTCTTCAAAATAATGGAAAATTCAGGTTGTGTGCACCATATGCACAACGCTAGTCAAGACGGGAAACTGGCTGACACTGTCCATACATCGCGCGGTACAAGCCTCGTGTGTCATCTACTGTGTTTTGCGAGCCACAACCTCGTTTTTACGGTAGAAAATTTCGGGAAACATGCTGCATCATATCTCTCCAAATACGATAGTACGACCTCGAAATGAACTGATGAACACGGAAAATACATACACAGACAAGAGAGATCAAGTTCTGTGAATTAACTTGCAAACATTTTCTACCTCCATCGGTGTTTTCTTGGCATTTTTATGATGTTGAATCCGACATCGTACAGTTCATGCTCCGCGGCCATCATATACAGCATAGCATGATGCATAGACTGGTATATTTTCATCATGCCTTCTAAATTGGCCCTTGCGCGGCGCGGCGGGAACCAGTCATCGCTGCATGGAGCTAGCGTTATGCACGTGTTAAATCGTCACCGCGACATCGATAATTGTGAACTAGTTTCACGAAGCAAACTTGTAAAAACAACAGAGGTTTCTTTAAAAAAAATAGCGAATGTAAGTAGGAAAACAAATAAATACAAGCAATTTTTCTCGCAAAAGGGTTGTTGAGAGGTGTTTTGTGAAGACAGAAAAGACAACAGAAATTTTTTTTTAAATTTATTTATTCATTTATAATTATATTTTTTTGACTTGCCGATAACATTTTTAGGGTAGCGAAGGGAGATATCCTCTGTTAGGGTTGCATCTCCTCTTTAAAATGACACCCTGGTCATGTTCTTACATGCACGGTTGACTGAGCAGTGACCAATTTTATAAAAGGGTTTATTTAGAGAATTGCACCACACTTCAATTGTGGTTTTTGTGGTGTCATTTGTCACAGAGTGAAAGGCTATGGTTGCCAATCAAGGCAGGTGTTGGAAAAAGAGATTTCACCATGAAAAGTGGCGCAATTCTCTAAATAGACCCTTTCATAAAATTGGTCACTGCTCAGTCAACCGTGAATGTAATGACATGACCAGGGTGTCATTTTAAAGAGGAGATTCAACCCTAACAGAGGATATCTCCCTTTGATTCACATGTGCCCTACTTCTGTTCCAATTAGCAATAATATCGCAGTTTCTTTTTTTTTATCCACCCTGTATAATTATGTCCATTTAATTCTGACAAAGCTTGGAGAGAATGAGATTGTGTGGATGCAGTGGTGCAACATGCGCTGCTGTGCGGGGCTTGTGCTTTATGAAAAACACATTACTTCTGTTTTTTATGCTTAAAAAGTATATATTTTCTTTATTTTTGGTGTCTTAGTCATGTGTCCTTCCATAAGTGAATCTACAGTAGTGACCTCCATCCTAAGTACTGGCTTTATTGAAGAGGCTGATCTCTCATGGGGAGCCAAGCATGTCTTCTTCAAATTCCCCCTCCCCTTGCTCAGCCTTTCTTTCTCCCCTCAAGAGAAAGGTCAAGAGGGGGAAAGAGACCTCTTGGTTTTCCTCTGGTGAACGTCTAAATGGCTGAAGGAGATGCAGATGAAGTTATGTTGGTTGGATGAGGTCAATTCACTGATTTGACGATATTGTCCAAGGAGTTTTTTCAAAGACGTTGATGCCTTCCATAATAAATACTGAAAACTGAATATGGAAATTGTACAAATACTTCAATTCTTGTTAAACTGTCTCAGGATATGATTTTTTTCACAAGGGTACATTATCTGTGAAAATAATCAATACAACAGTGGCACAATCTGGCATGTCTGAAAAAAGGAATTCTACTGAGTGTCATATTCTATATTTGTTTTTTTGGTTGGATTCGATTACTTACCAAACGCTTAACGTGCCTCTAAATCTGGGAAAGTTGCACATTCACAATACGTGAGACTAAACAAATAGTCTCAGGCCACTCGACTTTCTACATACACGGCCATCATATAAGAGTGACAAACCAAACAAAAAACTCTCAAAATGGATTCAGATCGCCGCAAGCAAGCTATGGTGGCTGTAGTTATCTTGCAAAATGATATTCTTTTTGATGCAGTAGGGAACATTGTAAAGTTTCACCTGAAAACCATGATATGTGAAATATCGGAGCCCCTTTTTCAAATTCCTACCCAGTGTCTAGAGTAATTTGAATAATAATTTTAGTTTTTGAACTTCCCACCGCTGGCGCATCACCGGACGTGGCAGCCATGTTTTGGCATGACCTTATGGGATACTTACCCAAGTAACCGACTCGGTGGGTCGGTCACAAGGGCAAGGCTTGAGAAGCACGAAAAGTAACGTGTCGATCTAATTGAATGGGCTCTTGTTAAAAGGAGTAAGCGCGGGGGGAGTAATAGAATGCGCTGCTATCTCTCTAAAAAAAATAAACCCAATACAGCAGACCAGTGAGATTTCTCAAACTCTGTGTTGGCTTAGTTCCTCCAAAAATGTCTAGCTGTATTTCTGGACAGTAAATTGTTTTGCTCTTTAGTACAGCTTGACAAATAGCATTTTGTTTCTTTAATGGCCTGAACAAAACATGTCAGCACATACATGTACATACATAGATGTACATAAAGTACATGTACATGACATACATTTGTTTGACATTAACGTGAAGAATAGATCTATAAAGTGTAGTGTAATCCCATGAGGGTCTTCAGTTGGAAAAGATGGTGATGAGGCAGACTGAATGTCTGTCTCTGCTATTCTGCTGTCAAGTTCCCTTCATTTGCCATCCCATTATCTTTGATCTAAATCAAATCAAGTACATGTGAGTGTGCATGCACTTTACAGGGTAAATATGGTTGCAGCGGGCCTTGGTGTGTTCATTGATACCAATCAATTTGGATGAAAAAGAATAGCATTAACTATTTTGGATAGCATTAATTAACTACATGTTAAAATAATTATTTTTGGAAGGATATGGGAAATGATGATTTCATTTTCAAGTTAACCTGCATTTGTTTATTCTTAGAATTAAACTTGCCATGGATGTTTTCTTGTTCAAAATTTGCAATTACAGGGTGTTTAAAAAATATAGGTAATCCTACTTTAAAGGGTTAATATGGCCAGACTATACATTTACCAATAAAAATCATGGTATCATCTTAAAGCAGAAGCTACATGCTTTCCAATGATACATGTACCTTGGTTGACCTTCCAGGGTTATGCATCATTGAGCACCATTGTCTTGAAAATGTGGTGCAAAATTTGGGTTGGCTCACTTTTCATGTTGAACATAATCGGCGCAGTGTGCCAGAGGACATTCGAGAGGAAAGAGCACAAGAGCATAAACAAATTTGAAGAACACTCAGGTTCTTGTTGAATCATTTAATTTGATGTCAAGGATAATACACAAGGAACGCGCCGTTCGTGGGTGAGAATGGGATTCTCACCCACGAACGGCGCACTACCGAGTGTATTAACCTACTTAACACCCTCCATGAATTCCTCATTATTGCTTGAACAAAGGCCTTTGTACAGCTTCATTGTTGAATTTGTTAAAATGGGAAAAACATTTGTGTTTATTTATGAGAAAAGAACAATGACGTAACATCTTTGTTATTATTTAGTGAGTTTCCTACCTCCATGTTTAAAGCATTTAAAAGAACGACAGTTGTCGAGCTGCCACAGTAGCCTGGTGGTTAATGAGATGAGCTATGGATTGAAAGGTCCCTGGTTCGAATCCTGCTATGTCAATTTTTCCATGCTCCATTCGTGCAAAACAGTGGCGAGAAGAAACAATAGTGTGACGTCACAGGAGGGTGTTAATCATGAGGAAAACATTTTCCAGATTCCAACTTTCCCTCATTTGCCAAGACACTCCACATATGTGTCCACCCCTATCCAAACACAGTTGGCTGTGACAGTGCATGTCGTCCACAGGTGGTCCCACGGTATCTGGATCTTCTCACAAAATTTCCACTTGGTGCTGAAGCCAGTTACACAAACCTGTATGTTGTGCCTGTATGTTGCTTGGTGGAGTGCTGAACACTTTGTTCTTCAAATGACCCCACAAAAGAAGTTGCAGTGTGTGAGGTCTGGTGACCTGGGGACTTTGAGTTCCCACAGGCGATTTCAAACAGCAGTGAGACGGTGGGCTGGTGCACCATGTTTTCCTGGCGTTGAAAGTGCAAATGTTTTACTCATAAATAGAATTCAATGATTGAACAAGAACTTGAGTCTTCTTCATTTTGTTATACTCTTGTGCTGTTTCATCTCAGTTCATCATGAATGCTCTTTCATCACGAATATCCTCCGGCACACTGTGCCGATTTTGCTCGACATGAAAGTGAACCAACCCCACTTTTGAGCCACATTTTCAAGACAATGGTGCTCAATGATGCGGGACCCTGGAATGTCAACCAAGGTACATGTCATGTATCATTGGAAAGCAGGTAGTTCCTGCTTTAAGATGATACCATGGTATTTGTTGGTAAATGAATAGTTTGGCCATATTAACCGTTTAAATTAGGATTACCTTTTTTTCAAACGCCCTGTACATCTTTTTCTCATACTAGGCCTATCTATAGTGTTGTCAGTCAGCCCGCAGGTTCGGTTAAGAACTTCCATTTCTGGACTTTTTTATTCTTTTTTTCAAAGAATTGTTCACAATTGGAACTTCAAAGCTAGTTGCTACAGACATTCACAGGGCGTCTGCAAGCATAGTAAACCACTTTTAAGGGTCCTTTGTAAGACTCAGTCACGTGCTAGATTAAGCCAGGCTTTATCTAGCTGCTGCTTTATAGCACACATTTTTTAAAAGTCTGTATTATATCTTTGATCTCCAACACCTTTCCAAAATTAAAATTTTAAAAGAATAACCTTTTCGCATTGTGGTTATTTTTACAGGTCCAGGCACAAGTCCGCATCACAAAGCAAAGATTTGACAAACTCAAGAACGACGTGTGCCAGAAGATCGACCTTCTTGGAGCAAGTCGGTGCAATCTCTTCTCTCACACACTAGCCACATATCAAAACACATTGCTTCATTACTGGGAGAAAACATCCCGCACAATGTCTGCTGTGCAAGAGGGTTTCCGTGGTTACCAACATTATGAATTCAACATGCTGAAGGTATGGTTGATCTGTTCATGAAACTTTGGATTGATTTGTCTCTGTCTGTATCATGGATGATAACACAAAATACTAGAAAATAATTTGAAGTTAATCAATGTTGTTTTATCCATAATTGTGTTAACAACTGTACACGATTATCTGTGTGATGTCCCCAATGCACTTTTTTTGTATGTCAAGTTTTTAGTTGCAGTCTCCCTTCGTGTATGTTCTGAACAACTTTCAAACTTTAGATTGTAGAGTGACTTAAGTTTATTTCTCTTTTGATTTCAGAATTTTTCTTTCGATTTTCATTTGTAAAAATGAGTTTTGTCTTCAGTGCATCTATCATGTCAATGTTGTTCTTGTCATAGTTGTTAAATATCAGTGCATATAATATAGAAAATAGAATTTTTGTTTACCAGTAATGAAACCACTTGTGCAAACTTATGCATTACAAATTGTTTGCGTCATAATGATATGTAGAGGTATTTATGAAGCGCTTTATTAAGCTCTGGCTGGAGCTTCTACATGTGGTGGTCAGTCGGTCCAATGGTCTGTCTGTCTGTCCTCGGAAAATTGACCAAAAGTAAGGTATTCCATATGTGCATTGGCGTCGCATTTTTTGGTGTCGCATTTTTCAGCTCTGGCAGGGATCATTTTGATCAATTTCAAGCAAGACTTCTTGCAGAGCTTATTGTGCACTCGTACTTGTTTAAGATCAAAGCACTTAACATTATTAAAGAGTCCTGAAGTATGACATCAGCTGTCTTTGTTCTGGTTCACTCGCTAGTTCACGTGCTAATATCTTCACATCTTAAGCTATGCGCGTGAACCAGAATTTGCAGCACAATTCAGGTTGATTCCTGTCGAGTCTGTGATGATTCTATTTTTGCATATACAGGGTGTCCCCCAAAAAACCGAACCCTCAAAGCTTTCTCTGTTTCACAGCTTTTTAAAAATACATCGCTAATATCGATCCATATTTAGAGAGTATGTTTCAGTAGCTTTTTGACATCAAAAAAAATATTTGCAATCGGGTAAACATTTATTAATTCATGGCCAATTGAAAATAAGTACCACTTTTTCATTTTGTCCACGGCGACTGATATTTCGACTGCGGCAATGAGAACACGGGCCAAAACTTGCAGTTGTGAAAAAGGCTAAGAAGTAGAGGGCAGGGACAGAGCAGCACAGTAGGGCCTAACATCTTAGAAGTTAACCAAACAGTCCTTTGTAGGACTACCGTTACTTCCAAAAGGGTTAATGACCATTGTTGCAAAAAGAAAAAAGAACCAAACTACTGTTAGATTTGTGTTTGTGGACAAATACATGGCTGTTTCGGCATTTTGTTATTTTCGTTTAATGTCATGGTATAGACTGATAGGACATAGATGTGCAGTAGAAAGTTGCAGAGTGATCAAGGCCAATAGTTCCGTAGTTATAGGCTTTAAAATGGACCTTTGATGTGACATCATATTGTAACTTTCAGTCCGGTGACGTCATCTATCTTCCCCCCCCCAACTTGTTGTTAGCATGAAGCTGGTTGTATACATCAATTATAAAAATGATTTCAGCAAACTTCGCCACACACAACTAATTATTCGTTTTTAACATTTTTCAACCTGCCGCTAGAGGGCGCTCTAACATTTTATGACGTCACCGTTATTTTTTTTTTTTAAAGAACAACTTGGCCAGAGAATACGTCATTGAAAGCAAGTTCACATCTTTTACCAATTTTAAATTACAAGGCACTTCCGGTTGCAACCGGAAGGAAGGGTCACATGATTTTACACGTAATATCAGAAATGAAGACCCTGGATTATTCTATCAGTTCCTGCAAAAGTCATGTGCAGGTCTCTCACGGTTGATTTTAAATTGATTTTCAAAGATTAAATCTATTAGTCTTTAACATGACGTCACGTAACCCATGATGACGTCGTCATGACGTCACTTCATGTAATGTTTTTTAAAGCTGTGAAAAAGAGGGGGCTTTGAGGGTTCATTTGTTTTTTGGGACACCTGTAGATAGTTTTTTTGCAAATTCTAAATGTTTGAATGCCTAATACATATACATTTTAGAGCATAAAGGGGTTTGCAAATGAAGTTTGCACATTTTGGTTTCATCTACATGTAGATTGCTTTTCAGCCTTTGCATGCTGTGATTGTGTGACCCTGATGTCTCTCCTCCTGTGTTGTTCGTGACTTATTCCACCATACAGGAATTGTCTGAGACCAGTAAGCAGCTAGCCCAATTGACAGGCGCAAAGGACATTGTACCAAATTGGGAGGACGACCTAGAAAATGTAATGTCACAATGTTCTGTTGTTTTGCTTCCATGGGTCTCCTTTATCTTCTTTCAATTTCATTAAATTGCATGAAGCATACAAAGACATCCATTAAGAACATTATCACATCATGTTTACAGAGGGTGAAATTAAACTTGAAAACATCTCGGATAAAACTGACTTGTAGTGACACAGTCAGTTTTGAGGTATCAAAGGCACTTTAACTGATACATGCAGTACAAAATTTGTTCAGACAATGTGAAATGGCCAGGCAGTGTCTGATGTTTAACCGTGATTTCACCCTCTGTTTTGATCTTTCTCTCCACACAAACTCTGTAGTCATCCTTCATCAGAACAAGTTTGCTAAAGTAACCCTTCTCAGTTTCATGTGTGAGATAGTGAAGGTTCTGTGCATGTTTGTAGACCTCTGATATTGCCTACACGAGAGCAGGCTGTTGTAGTCTATTGCTTTGTGCAGATTGGATCAGAAATTACACATGAGAATCATGACTCTTACAAGTGCATGTACAAATTGGTTCACGGTGCCTAATACATGTAAGTGTCCTCATAAAAAGGTCATGCAAGAACCGCGACAGAGGCTCAACAATACCTTGGAGATGTTAAGCAGCAACACTTACTGAGTACAGATAACGATTGCTTAGCACACACACAAAATCCCAAAAATGAAAAAAAAAATTGAATTGCTTCTTAGAGGCTCTCATCTGATTCTCTTGCTTAGAAGGAAATAGTTTCTAATCATTTCTTAACCCTAATGATCCCCAACCAGCCAAACTCTAACACCAAAAATTGTTTGGATCTGTTAGAATGAGTACCGCACTAGTTACATGTTGTGTAACTGTTGTGCTTTGGGTGGGATTAGGCATACCACAAAAAAATACAGAGTCCAACTGTTCCTATGCACAGTTAACCATATGGTGTTGGCATTTGCAAGGATGAGGAAGATTCCTAGTAAATCACCTAGGGAGTTATGGTTAATGGGCAAAATATTTTCTGCTTAGCAAAAGTAGTTCCATGAGATTTGGAACAGAACCAGCATGTTATCCATGATTTTCTAAAAGCTAACCAATTGCATAATTTTCCCAATTAACTGCATGGTATTCTACAAATATAACAAGGCCTTAGGGTGGACAGTCAATATTTACTCCCCTAGGTATTGGAAATTGACAAACTAGTTCCTGAGGCGAAGCTGAGGGAATTACATGTACATGTAGTTTAATTGTCAGCAAGGGAACTAGTTTGTCAACTTTCAATGCAAAGAGGAGTTGGCATCAACCAGGGGTGTGAAATCTCAGCTTTAAAGCTGATTTCAGCTTTCGTTTTGTTTTGGATTTCAGCTTTTTTCCCTCACTTGCTGTGTACAAAAGTGTAGGAAATTTCCAAAGTTCAGCTTTTGTACTTTTTCAGCTGTTTTCAGCTATTTTTATCAGTGGTCACTCACACCCCTGATACTGTCCTCCCCATAGTTGTTTTACTAAACCTCATACATAGTTGCCATTATTATATAATTCCAGGTGCCTGGCCAAAGAAAATTTGTATCCACATTAAAGGAAATATACAACATTTGCCTTTGCTATAATTTTCAGAAATGGATGGATTTGAAGGGTTAGTATTTTATGGCAAATATTGTTTCTCTGACTTGTTTAAGTTTTGGGTTCGTTGATGCTGAAAAAAAAACACCAAGAAAAACAATCGTGTTCTTGTTGTCTGGATCCCTGACCCCGCTTAAGGTGTAACGGAGCAATTTATCGACTTCGGGGAATTGTAAGGTCAGGGAATCAGTCTAGCTAGCTTGTACCCGTTCACAGGTGTGTAATCTATTGCAAACAAAATTAGGACTAACTAAATATGATAAATTAAGAAGCAGTATTTAAGAAAGAGCCATTTTTTTCCAACGCTGGTCGGCCGACCAGCGTTGGAAAGTGATACAAAAATACCACTTTTCCAGTAAGGAATTTTGTGATAATTTGGTAGTTTTGCTCTTTGATGTTTGCATATGTTGTATATTCCCTTTAAAGTTAAATATGAAGTCCATACATTGTTGGTTGCGTGCAATCAAGCTTCTATGCCTCCCATGTGCCAACACACATGGGATAGTTCCAGGATTGCCTAGTAGCCCATGTAATAGTCGACTTAACATGCATATTTCCACCGTGTGTGAATCCTCGCGTGCGCGCTTGGTATAATGAGGGTTGGTTGATATGTTTTTATGTCTTAAATTCCAGCCATTTTTATTATCAATGAATTACAAGCCTACTATTGATAAAAATCAACTCCTCCTGCATTTAAAGAACCAACTGTTTCTAGATGCTTACCTCAGCACATACATGTACATTTGTAGGTTGATGTTAAGCTGACACATAAATTGGGATGCATTTGAAGTTTTTCCATGAACCAAGTTTTCCTCTGCGAAAATATATTAAAAAACAAAAAGAATAAATAAACAACCAAAGAAGGGGGGAAAAAACAATAAAAACAAACAAATCAAGCATGTTCCACATTGTTCACCACACTTGTCTCCACTATTAAGTTTAAAACAAAAAAACTAGAAATGTGTTTATGGACAAACACAGCTGTTTCGGCTGTTTTAAATGACTCTGACGTGTGATAACGCCGACATGACGTCACTTCATATTTCATCTGTAAGGCACAAAAAAAAGTCTCCTGTTTCTGGTCTGCATGCGCATTGCTGTAGTTATGCGCGTCGGCAAAATTAAAAAGCTTTTTTTTTTCAATGTAAAATGATGTCTCAAAACAGCCAAACTCACTGATCCTGCTGCTGCACAATTTTAACGTGTTTTTAGATGGGGTTACGATCGAGTATAAGATTTATGTGGCCTCTCTGGGCTCCCATATATTTTGTACTAAATTTAGTCGGGCACCATTTGGTGCATCTGGGAGCCAGACTGAGGGAGCAACAGTCCTGTATCTTGAACCTGTAAACGCTTTTTAATTAGCGCAATATGTAAGGGAGCAGACAAATGACCAACCTGGCAGCACATGCAGGATGTTGATGTTGCTGTATTGTCTGACGTATGTTACCGTTTTCTCTGATTTTTAACATGACTATCCAAATTTCCCAGAGAATGTTCATGTCGGTCAAGAGCTTATGTGGGTGCAGAATTTTCAAGCCTTATGGCCTTACTGAGGTCACCTCAAGCTCCACCCTGACGGATATTTTTGAGAGTTTTAAGGGGGTTGAAGCGTCATCTGCAACATCAGCCGACATTTGAAGGAAAAAAAGTAAGGGGAAAAAAAACCTGTCGCCGCACCACTTTGGGGGCAAGCTCCATACCAGAAACCAGAGACTTTTTTTGTTGGCCTAACACAATCAAATTGGACCTACAATTCTATAGATTTAGGTCATAGACAAATTCCCCTTTAATGTGATGTCACATGACATGTGATGACATCATCATGACATTGCTTAATTTTCATCTATAATATATATCCTGGTCTAGGCACCTATTTGTACAAAGTTACAACCAAAATGGACATACAATTCTGTACATGGACATTTGAAAATGCCCCTTTAATGGGACGTCACATGGTTTACAATGACGTCATCGTGACGTCACTTCAATTTTCATCTATAACACATCCCGGTCTAGGAAACCTACCAAGTTACAACCAAATCGGACCTAAAATTCTCTATGCAAGTAGCAAAATGCCCCTTAAATGTGATGTCACATAATTTTCACCTATAACAGATCCCTGTCTACATGTATCTACATACCAAGTTCCAACCCAATCGGACTTGTACCTCAGAAGATAAAATGCCTCAAAAAGTGCACCTTTAATGTGATGTCATGTGACATAATGACATCACCTCGACAAAAATCTTTGGGGACCATTTGCAGGTGGTGATCTATGTGTGTGCCATGTCCGAAGTCGATCAGATTTACGAAAGTGCCTAAGTGTTTTGGTGGAAGAAAAACGTGTACAAACCCTACGAAGAAAAATGCACCTTTAATGTGATGTAACCTGACACCTGATGATGTCATCGTGACTAAAATGTTTGCAATGGTGGTTTATGTGTGTGTCAAGTTTTAAGTCGATCAGACTTACGAAAGTGCCAAAGTGGTGCCTGTAGGATGAAAGAAAAACGTGTACAAAACCTAGGGAGAAAAAGTCTGAAAAAGAAAAAATTTAACAAAAACAAGAGCTATTATGGCGAACGTATCACCTACCTGTACATTTGTGATCTGAATTCATTCCTGTCACTTCCAGCTGTAGCAAAATGTATACAGTGTACATTACAGTTACACTTGCATTCACAGTGCACAAGATCACAAGCTTCATGTGGATGTACTTTAATCAGAATGTACTGGCAAAAATATTTTCTTGTTTAAATTTTTTTTTTTTTAAATATAAACAGTTTTTCCAATAAACTTTGTTCAAACTACATTGATGAATGACGATAAAGTGTTTTAAGCACCTTTAATAGAAAAAATGAATTGTTTTACTTTGTCTAAAAAAAATTAAGAAATGTTGACCCGGACAAAGTGTATGTCCTGAATAAAATCTATTTCTACATTCCATTTCTGCATTTCCTCGCAAAAAAAAATTAATATTAGGGAATTGAACCCTGCCTGGTACGCAAGTAAGCTATTTGGGAGTTTTTAAAGATAGGAAAACCTTATAATTAACAATGATAGACTTTGTTTTCATTTGAAACCATTCACCAGGCCAATTCACGCTGATGTCACGGTCCGAAAGTAAACATGATGCGCGCGGGACTGGTAGGCATATTGTATCATCTGCCAACTATGTTGTGCTGTTTTGGTGATATGTCTGCACCAAAACTTTTTCGTCATGGGTAGGGCTTAGAGAAGTCCATTATGCCAACAAGCTGTTGTGTACATGGATGTACTAATAGACAAAACCAAAATCCTTTACTTGGATTTTACCGCATCCCAGTAAATTTCTTTGTAAAGACTTCTGGAAAATTGTAAATATATAGTTGTGCTGTAACTTTCACAAAACTTGTGAAAGTTACG